TGGTGAATAACGTCATTCAGGCTGGGGCCCGCCTTGTACGATAGACTAAAAAAACAAAAAAAAAAATCGACCTCCTAAAGACTAAAACCCTAACCGCCCTTTTTGCGCGCAACCCATATTATAATTTATATAAATAATATTTAAAAATATAATTAATAATAAATAAATATATAAATATATAAAAATAATATTTATTATTATTATTATTAAATAGTTTTATATTTTAATATAGAATATTCGATAGGATTTATGATTTATTCCGATCTAGATTTCCGGATCCTAATAATATAAAATCAATCAAATGATTATATCAATTTATCATGGAATAATATTATATATATTTAAAAAATAATTATTTATTGATATTTATATATGGAAAAATATATATATATATATGTAAGTATGTTTTTCTTCTTTAAATGGTGGTCGCAACTCACAGGGATGAAGTAGGCTCCGATAGCGCAGCCCAACCCTCTGTACAGGCTTGCGGATTCGTGGGCTCTTTGGCCAAGTTTGGCTCGCCCTTTCGCCAGGCCGCTTGTCGTACTGGCTGCGGTGAAATGGACACGGTTCGTGGGAACCAAAACGTGGTCGCCGTTGGCAGCGTCGCCATGGGACGTGCCATGGCTCCCATAGGTCCCATGGCTCCCACGGGTCCCATAGGTCCCATGGCCATGGGAGGTCCCGGAGGTCCCGGAGGTCCCGGAGGTCCCGGAGGCCCCGGAGGCCCCGGTGGCGTCTGTGCGATGAAACGAATGGGGCTTGCAACTCTCGGTGGACTGGGCGACATGTGAACCACCTCAGGTGAGAACTCAACAGTTTGCAAGGACGTTTAATGTTTTGGCTGTCGTAAGTAGTGTTGACACCTGTTTTTTTTAGTGGTTGGTTTTCATTACAAAATCGCGCAATATGAATCATCCACCTTTATTGCAGCCTTTAAGCACTTCCAGAACAGCAGGCAACCAAGTTTGGTTGCCGTTGCTTTGACAATGAATATCAATGAATGGCATACAAGTAAGTAGGTCTTGGACATCGACCATTGTCATGATGACTCATTTCTACAGTAATTACAGGCCTTTTATAAGCTTGCAACTCCTCGGTCTCCAGATCTGTGTAGATGTTTTACCATATCACTAGATGTATATACATATATGTACTATAATGAGTGGTAAATTTCCTTAAAAACTATGAATCTAAACAATTCCTAATAACCAACCCATCCCCGAAAAAAACATCCCAACTTGCCATGCCAAGGTGCCCTTGTTGGTGACGTTGACGCCACTCTCAACGCCGGCGCGCGCACCGTGGGCGCGGCATAGATGGCGCCCTTCTCCGGCCACGTCCATCCCATGGTCGGCGCCTGCGACCACCGTGGAGGACTCAGGCTGCGCGACGTGGGGTGCACTGCGGGCGGCCCTGGCGATGGCCCGGGCCCGGCGCCGTCCACGGGAAAGGAGTAGCGGGAAGGGGTGCGGCCACCATCCATCCTGGAGAGAGGTGAGGTCGATTGAAACTTAGTCGTTGTAACTTTAGAAATGGTGATTTGGGTTGGCTTGGAATCGCAAAATATCAAAATAATTCGCCACTTAACTATATAAGATTATATACATATATATAATTATTAATATGATATACAGAAATCTTAACTCCCAGTAAATCTCCCGTTCATAGATGGTCAAATCATGTGAGAACTGCAAAAATAGCTTCCCTTTATATTCATCTCTCCCATGAAGTAATCCCCCATTGTGTCCCACAATCTGGTGCAAACCAATTATGTTGCTTGGCTTATATGCCCATTTAACTGGTTCGATATATCTACCTGACATAGTGAACTAAACCAATTTGGCTAGCTTGTGGATTCCGTGGTAGGTTTTGGAAATAGGGTACATCCAAATTCAGTGATTAATCATCTTCCATCCTTTTTCCTTGTTAGAAAGGCCATATATTCCGGATAAATCACTCATGTTCACACAAATCCAAGCATCATGGTCGGAATTGTAGATCCCATATCATATCCCATAATCAAAACCCCAACTATCACCCATTTCCTGCTTCAGCCGATTTAACTACTCGGAGAATCATCCCACTTAGCAGTTAATAAACCTGAACGTCAGCTCATTCGTGGCTTATCCCATTGATAAATTGGCGAACAAATCCCAGTGACTAACCATTTAGCTATCATAAATCAGCTATATCTATCATGAAATCCCATAAGCATCATGGTTAAATGATCTAGAAAATTGCCATTTTAAGCGTTATTTTCCTATGGTTTTTCCAAACAGTTTGGAAGATGATCCTATCCTCGTAATCTTAATGTCGCTGGGCCACCCGCACGTTGACACCGTGGTCGCCGCCGCGTTGACGTAGACCGGGTCGGCCACGCGCGGGGTCGGGAAGGCCGCGCCACCCGGCGCCATGCCCGGTGCCAAGGGGGTGCCGGGACCGGCAGGCGCCACCACGGCGAGGCCTGCCTTGGGGATCTAGGTGAGGCTCCCCAAACCAGAATAGCTAACGTTGGTGTAAATAACATTATTTAACTATGAATAACTCCAATAATTACAGGATAGAAATGGGGAATATACATAACATTATTATAGAACTATATAGAACTATAGTGAATGGGGGATTATAACTATCATTATATAACAGTAGTGAATGGGTATAAACCAACTATTTTTTCTAGGGTTATGGTAATTGGAACTGGAGCTAATGGGGGTTATAAAGCAAATATAGGTAATTGGGGGCACCACCTGGTATGCAAGATGATTCTGATATGATTGCACAGGGTTCCGCCATGACATGTTCTGACATTGTTTTGGCACACAAAGCAAAGCTCTGTTCTATGATTATTTTTCGTTGGCATATATAACCACAATGGAATAAATCAAAACTGGGAAACATGGGGGAATATACCGTATACTGATGGGATTTAGTGGGATAGCCATAATCATGGGATATATTGGGATATGAGATCAAGATAGATTAAGCATAATGTAGGAATAACCATCTATCTTAATGCTAGAGATGATATTATACAATGCTTAATAACATGATGCTAATAACCATCTATTATACATTATGCTATTAATGCAGGAATAACCATTAAGATAGATAACCATTAATATTAGGATACAATGCTAGAGAATGGGCAAACCAAGGAACTGGAATTGAAAAAACAGAAATTGGTAAATTAAATTGGTCTCACTTTCCGATTCTCAGCAGCACACCCAAAGATTAACATGGTGTCAACACAGCGCAGCTGAGGCTCCGGTGTTAACATGGCCGCCGAGCGGTTCTCCTGCAGTTGCAAGCGCCTTGGCACGACGACCAGTCGACCAGTCTCCGAGAGACCGCGAGTTTTTGAAGTGGGACCTCTTTGAGCATCACCAATGGGTGTGTCTGAAAATGGGGAATACCCCTTGGGAAAATTATGAGAATCCATTGGGACAATTAAAATGGCCAATTCTCATCATTTTCCCTATTTTTATTGCCACTTTAATAGGGAAAATGATGAGAATCCATTGGGAAACGGTGTTGGGGTACTTTAAGTTCAGACAAACTCACCAAATTTGGTTTGAAACATCACCAAATCTACAAAATGGCGATCCGTAAACTTGGAAAAACATGAAAAACATTTCATCTCATGTCCATTCGTTTTTTTTATCAAGTCTTTATCTTGCTGAATGGTGTGAATACATCACAAGTTTTAAATCCACTTTGAGATGTTTTGGAACGATTCCCTGTAGCCATGATCAAAAATGTGACGGCCAGTAAGGTCGAAGAAATAGTTCAGTCAGATGATGTCTTAACTATGTGTAAACACCACCATCTGCAAAAACTTCACCAATTGAAGGTTGGTTGGCTGAATCATGTGAATCCCCGGATATTGAATTATACCACCATAATATCCCACATATCTGGCTACTTTTCTGATAATACCAGGTCTATTGATGGTGATGTTCTGATGGATATAATGAAGCTCTCTGATTTAATATGTATGCGCTTTTTTGAAATTTCACCGCAAGAGAAACTTATTGTTAGCATCAGCTATATTGTAATCATTATATAATTATATATAACTTTGGATTTCACGTTTTTGAAAAAATATGTTTGATTCAGATTTGTATCATTCCTTTAAAACCATTGGGAAAATAACATATCACCTTAAAAACTTAAAATCTTAAATAAACAGATCCAGGTATGTACATTGTTAAACCGCTTTAACCCCAAATAATTCCCTTTAAAGCTCCACTTTTCCCATGGGAAAAACCACTTCCGCCAGGACGCTTCCGGAGCTCTGCGAGCTGTGCCTCCAGTTCAGTGGTGCGACGCCGCGCCTGGAAACGTACCGGGAATACACCCCCGAAAATTCACATGGAACCCCAAACACTTACTGGTGCTAAACGTAGGGAATGGATGGGTTGCTGGGGGTTGCTGGGATGATTATTGATAGTTAGCCAGTGGATCATTCCCGAAAATTCCCTGCGTTTAGCACCAGCAAGAACATGGTTTTTGTAAAATCATTTTTCGTATATGGCTATTCGTGAGTGCCATGTGAAATTTTCAGGGGGTATCTGAAACGAAGTGGGCATGGGTGGTTTATTTCCACATTGCCAGAGGCTATGAAGCCGCAATGATGGGCACATGGGGACGTAAGCTCCAAGTGATGGTTGGCAGAGAAATCCGCCGTATAGGTCATGCAAAGACCAGCATTTGGGGCTGTGCAAATCACCGAGATCTGCAGATCCGCAGCTGCATCACCAGGCGGCCTGCCACATCCAGCGTGGAAGTCTGTCGCTGTAGAGGCAGAGGACTTCCTGTCTCACCGTGGTGCTGCGGGGCACACCAAAGTCTCCCATTTCTTCTGAAAATATGGCGGCGTTCCCTCCGCAGTCTCTCGAAAAATTCAGGAGTCAGATCCGGGAGCGATTCCATGGCTATGGCTACCTGGCGGTTCACCCCAGTATCTGAAAGTAGGTCATAAATTGAATGAAATAAGAGCGCGACTACCCTTCTGACTCAACTTATAAGCGTGTATATAAGATGAAATCAGCCACACACGAAGGAGATGAATGCAACCAGGCATGGCGTTCTGGAGAATTGCCTATATAGCCGTTGATGACTGACACCAATATAGTGATGATCTGTGACCCTGTTGATCCAGTTGGATCGGCTTAGACACCATGGCATCTGGCTGATGTCCAATCCACAGATCCATACTCTGTCCATGATATTCAGTACTTAGATGGGCCATGGAGTTAGTTAACTAGTTAGTAAGTGGATTATAATTGGGATATAGAGGGCTATATCCCCAGTTACTAACCAGTTAGCTAATCCCATGGCCCATCTAAGTATCGTCATGTTGCAGCGGTCGGCAGTTCATTGGTACCTGAAAATGCCAGGGATTTCATGCCGTTGGCTGAAGGCCCGTGCTTTTCTGGCGGATGCCAACGCCTGTCATCCTGTCCCTGTTACGTCCCAAGCAAAGTAAAGCAATTGCTTCTATTCGTTGGCCATTTTTGGCAAGATCTCACGCGCGGTGCACAAATGTACATGTGTTTTTTCCACACGGTGCCCTCCGACTTTTTCACCATTCCCATTTGTAATTTAGCTTGCAACAGGGGATATCACATAACATATGGGCTCTTTTGGCTAATGATTATACAATCCATTCATGTATCAAACCAAGGTTTACCCCAGTTTACCAATGAATTCGTGGTTATGTACTCATCACTGTCGGAAGTTCGGCTGCATCTCTTGGACCTCATCTTGATCATTCAAACTGTCTATTCCAGTGGATTGGAACATAGTTTTCCTTGCTCAACTGGGCAAAACTCGACCATATCCCAATTTGGCACAATCCCGCATCTACATGTAGGATCATGTAGGCAGGTTCTACCATTGTACCCAATGTATCTGTAACATATAAAAATGTTATACCCCTCATCTTTTATCAATTTTTGTTGCCGCACAAAGGGGCCCCCAAGGGCTATCTAGGGTTTATGGGGATATATCTATAGTTCAGGGGTGAACATAAACCGACAAACACAACTGGGAGGCACTTCCTGTGATAAATCAACAACCAGATATTCCGCTTTCATGGTGGGCTTACCAATCGGAAGATAAACAAGTCACCGACTCAGCGAATCAGTCAGTTGATGGCCTTCGTTTTTTCTATGTTTAATCACCATGTTTAATGGGAAAACTCACTATTTCAATGGCCATGTTCAACAGGTTTTTCTGTATGTTTCCCAGAGGCTAAATCCCATTCATATCTCATTCAATCACAAAAAAAATCCCATGATATAAATCATGTTGGTTGATATATTATAATCACTATAAATTTAAATCACTATAAATCACTATAAATTCCAGTTGGTTGAAACCAACAAATTTCATGGCGAAATCTCTTAGAGGCTTCATCCCATGCACCTCCCGGAGCTGCTCTGGGATTTCGAAGAGATCGGCCTCAGCAGCGGTGGTGCGGTGCGCTCTGCGTCCAGGGATTGGTCCCCAAAAAATTTCGGGGGCTGTGAATCAACAGAAATGGTGGTTTAAACCATGTTCAAACCATGGAGATAAAGTGGAATTAGCAAAGTTGGTCAACAAACACGTGGATTCTGGATTTTAAACATTTTTATAAAGCTGGCGAAAAAACTTTTTTTTTTACAGTAATCCCGAGTAATAGCTGTATCATGTGATGTTGAAAAAGAACTCCTTGCCATGGACTTTTCCCGAAACCACAAGAACTGCCATGGTCATCTCTCCCCAGTAGAATGTTTCACATCCAACAAACAAACCGAACGAACGTTCAACTTTGTCCCACGACACAAACTCCATGGGATTGTTTGCGCACGTGTTGCCAGATATTGAGGTACCCAATTTGCAGGCAAATTCACTGATTGTGTTTTGACTGAATCCAGATTGTGCATAATATTGCCGTGTAAATCCCATAATTCATTGGCCAAATCCTTATATTTGATGGTGACATCTTCATTTTTGGAGGTGATTTTTTTTTCTGGTCCAATCCCTGCTGCACATAAATCTGGCTGAATAAATCATCTGGCTGATGGAATCCCATGCTGGTGGAATCCCAAGTTCATGGCATTTCTGGTTGGTGGTTTTTCGCCACCGGAAAAAAATGCGAGTTCGTCAGTTGGGATGTTATTCCATGACCCCAACTGTTTCTGGAAAGTCAGTCAAAATTCCATGGTTCCAGTCAGCACCAACCAGCTGAAATTTCTGGCTACATCGGAGTTGTTTTCCTCTTCCTAACCATTCCAATGAGGTCATAGGCTCTCCGGCTGGCATGGCTTCCTTGCCATTGGCGGGCCGTGCAGCGCTCTTGGGCCCTGTTGGGGCAGCCTGTGCGGAAGGGAGTGGAACAAATGCAACAAATGCAACAAGGTGGGGCCGCAGCTCGTGAGCTAAGTTGATTTATTTGCCTGGGTGAACTATAGTTTACAGTGGATATACCCTCTGGTGAACTAACATAGCTATTGAAAATGACCATTTATAGTGGATTTTCCCATTAAAAATGGTGATTTTCCATAGTTATGTTAGTTTACCATTCGGCAACTGTGATCAATGGGGTGTTAAAACTCAACATATAGCCAGCGGGCACCACCTTGTATGTCATGTGGTAGGCCCAATACCATAAACCCTCAATTGTGTAGAATTAACACTATTGATGCAAACCCATTTTTGGTGAGTCATAGGAGATTATTTACTAGTGGCTTTACAGCAATCTGGAATATTCAGATTTGCCTACCAAAGCAAGGAATGGTGAGCAGCCTGGATGTATATTCCAATCACCTCTGAATGAATTGGGGTTCTCAAAGTGTCTACGCTTGTTTTCCCCCAGTTGCTGGTCGTACATCGCGTTTTTCATTGTTTTAATCGCCATTGCCCACTGTTGTTGAAATCCCAACTGTTCAGACAGAGTAGTTGTATCTCTGTGTGTGCTGGTCAATTTTTGTATCCACATTTTTAGTGGCCAACTCCCTATCTTCCACATCTCACCACTGAGAGGCTAATACCCATATTGGCTAATGCATTGAGATTCCCCGATTCCAATAACCACTGCATCTCTGTCCTGTGATCTGGATTTAACAACTATATACAAAATATTGACTTGATTCCCAGCAGCTTTACTTATATTCACATTACACTACATCTCTATATAATCCCAGTTTAACTTGACGACTAAATTTCTTCGACCTCAACACGTTCAAATTACAGCAGCCTCCTGAAGGATTCAGAAAAGGCCAAATTGACCACTATTTTCAACTTGGATTTTATTAACTTCTATCGTTTTGGGGGTTGCTATACTATCATGTAGTGGGGAAACTCTTAGTAGCTGCTTGGCTGCCTTTTGTTACGGGTAAATGCGATGCCGGTATGCCCTTCGTGAGGTTTTTGAACCTTGCTTTCCGCATGGAGCTCCGCGGGGCACACCTAAGGTGCGCCTAGCCATGAACTTCCAAACTTAGATCTGGTTGGTGGTTTTGATCATCTTGAAAAATATGAAAGTCAATTGGAAGGATTATCCCATATATTATGGAAAATAATCCAAATGTTTGAAACCACCAACCAGTAGATTGGCCATCATGTCACTTGGGCGAAACCTACCAGAAATGCCAGAATGGCCAATGGGCCTTGGAAAAATCCCATGGGACCTTTGTCCAAAACTTAGTAGGCCTCGGCCTCCAAGTGAATGGTGACGCGACTTCTTCAGTCCATCAACGTCCTTCTTCAGTCCATCAGCATGACTTTGGATCTAAAACTTGCCAAATTACCTAAGGTTTGCACCATGTTCTTCTCACTTTGTGTAGTATTTGCAACATTTGGGAGCTAGAGCATTTCAAATTGCATGGCATTGGCAGCACTTACGGTTGTTGTTGATTTGTTGTTGATTTGCTTCTGGTTGGTTGTTTATCAGTTGTTGGTTTGTTGTTGATGTGTTGCTGAATTATTGTTGGTTTGTTGTTGATGTTTTTTGATTTGTTGTTGCTTTGTTTGCGGTTTGTTGTTTATCTGTTGCTGATTTGTTGTTAGCTTGTTGTTGGTTTGTTGATGGTTTGTTGTTGTTTTGTTGTTGTTATTGTTGTTCTTGTTGATTTTTGTTGGTATTTAGGTATTCTTGGGATTTGTTTAGGATTGGTTTAGTGCTGATTTACGATTCTTAGGGTTGGCTCAGGGTTTATGAAGAGCTGGTTAAAAACTTATTTGGTGTTGCTTTATTGTCAGTTGGTCTGATCTTGCCGTTCTTTAAGGGTTAGTTGCTGTTTTTAAGGGTTTGCTTAGGGTTTATTGAAGGTTGGTTATGAATTTAAGGTTTATTTAGGGTTGGTTTAACGTTTATTCAAGGTTAGCTTAGGATCTATTTAGGGTTGGCTCAGGGTCTATTTTAAGTCTGGTTAAGGTTAAAAAACAAAAAGGCAAAGAATCAAAAAACACAAACAAGCAAAGAAGCAAACAAAAACACGTACATAAACAATATAAAAAGAAAACACAAATAAGCAAAACAAGCAGAGAAGCAAAAAAAACAGAGACGCAAAAAAACAACGAAAAGCAGAGAAGCAAAAAAGCAGAGAAGCAAAAAAGCAGAGAAACAAAAAAAACAGAGAAACAAAAAAGCAAAGAAGCAAAAAGCAGAGAAACAAAAAAGCAGAAGCAAAAACGAAGGAGCAACAAAAACATAAAAGCAGCAAAGCAAGGAAAAGCAGAGAAGCGCAAAAGCAGAAAAGCAGAGAAGCCAAAAAAAACAGAAAGCAAAGAAGCAAAGAAGGAGAAAAGCAGAAAAAATAAGGCGACAAGAATTCCCCAAACGCTACCAAAAGCAGAAAAGCAATGGAAGGTCCAACGAAAAGGGCGAACAATATTCCCCAAACTGACCCGCAAAAGATCTACAGTAAACACCCGTATTTAAAGGATTTTTAGGCAACAGGCGCACCTTTCACCCCCTACTGTAGTGAACATGGATACAATCATAGCTTTCAGGCCCCAAGAGAAAAAACACACAGATATTCAGATATTCACTTAATCGATTCCCAGTCATGGTGGATTTCCCATTGCGAATTAATCGAAAATCACCGACTCAGCAAAGCTCAGTTGACAATCACAGTCTTTGGTGAAAACGATTATCCATTTCAGATGGGAACTGGGCCAGGGCCATGATGCGTTTTCTTGGTTACCCTCTGATACCCCAGTTCCAAGAAAAATATGTTCCATATTTTTTTTTAAACATAGCTAGCTGGAAAAAATATGGAAGATACCCCATTTCGATGATTTTCCCATTCAAATCTCCCTGGCGAGTGGGGAGTTTCCATCCAAGTTTGAGGACACTGGAGGTTGAATGAGCAGTGTTCAAAATCCCTCTATCATTCCATGAAATATTGGCTGGTTTATAGGGATTCCCCTATTGGATTATTATAATCCCGAATATATAAAGGGTAGTATAATCCCACAACTAATTATCAACCAACCATCATAAAAATCAGTTATATTCACTAATATCCCCATATTTTCATGGATAGAATTTGATAGAATCCCATTTAAATTACCCTCTGGTTATTTAACATAGCCATGGAAAATGGTTGATTTTCCCATTAAAACCTCCATTTATAAGGGATTTTCCATGGCTATGTTAAATAACCAGAGGGTACTATAATCATCTATAATCATCAACACACAGGGGTTTTGAAGGCTCAAATGCCCAGTAAACCTCCGTCCCTCGGAGCCTTGGCCATTCGACCGGGGGAGGTCTTCTCCTCTGCAGGCAGGGGGTTCATCGAATGGGGACAACCTGCAAGATATAATATGTGGTTAATATATGGTTAATATATGGTTCAGCATATTAGTTAACATATGGTTAATATATGGTTAATAAATATGTATATTATGGTTAATATATGGTTCAGCATATTAGTTAACATATGGTTAATATATGGTTAATAAATATGTATATTCTGGTTAATATATGGTTAATAAATATGTATATTCTGGTTAATATATGGTTATATACCCCCTGGTAAATTAACACAGACCCTGAAAATCACCAATGTTTAATGGAAACTAGTCTTCCAACCCCGATGACTGCCAGGGTCTATGTAAATATTCCAGAGGGTATAACATATGGCCACTGTGGTAAACCAATTGAGTATACCCCTAGAAATGGGGATGATGTAAGGTCAACGCGTGTGGGATACAACCCATATCGCTGGTGCCCACTTTTTTTATCAAAAGGGAGGGAACAACGAAAGAACAATTGATACCATCCAGTACAAGGTAGTGCTCCATAGTCGGCCAAGTCGGCTGATAACTTATAACAAGCATACCTGCTAGGTTTATTGTATCATATATGTAGGTAAGTGACAGTGGCAGGCTGATAAACCAACATAAACCTGAAGGGTGCACCACCCTCAAATAAATGGCTTCTGTTCAATCAGCAGCATTCTTCGTTTTCTGGGAATTGGTCTTCTGAGACTTCATCGTTTGCATTGGAGACTCATAATCAATTGGCAAGCCAGGAGCAAAGTGGAAAAGACAGGCTTAGATTTCTGACCATGGACATACCTATGTATACTGTAAATATAAACACACATTGTGAAAACAAACGCCCACACATACGTGGTTATATATCCCATTCTATCCCTATTGGTTGTTGTATCTCATGACATCCACATCCCCCATTTTTTTCGATGAATTATCCAAATTTTGGTTGGTTACAAATCCCCATTTTCATACAACTTCCCATATTTTCCTATAATTTTTCTATATCTTTCCCATATTTTGCTATTATTTTCCTATTTTTGTTTCTATATGTTTTCCATATTTTCCATATGTTCCTATATGTTCCTATATTTCTTCTATATTTTCCCCATACTTCCCATCTTTTCCTATAATTTTCCTACATTTTTCCCATATTTTCCTTAGGAAATCCAAGCCTCCCAGCTGCCGAAGACCACGGCGCTCCGCTCCCCGCTACATCCCCGCCGCTCCTCCCGGTCCAAGGTGGACCGCGAACGCTGCGAGGAAAGACGCGCCAGTTCCTGGCGGAGCGGGGAAATTTTCATGGCATTTCATGGCTATGAATTCTTAAAGAATCACTTATGGGATTTGATGGTGACTTAATAATTCTTAAGAATTAATGGTGATTTAATGGTGATTTAATAGGATTTTAATGTGTTTTGATGGTGATTTACTGGTGATTTAATGGCTATTAATATCTATTAATCCTTAAAGATCACTTATGACTTAATAATTAATGGTGATTTCATAGGATTTAATGTGTTTTGATGGTGATTTACTGGTGATTTGATGGATTTCTTTAGGATTTCATAGGATTTAATCAGATTTAATGGCTATTATCCTTAAAGATCACTTATGGGATTTGATGGTGACTTAATAATTAATGGTTATTGAATTGATTTTTTAATGGTGATTTAATGGTGATTTAATCAAATTTACTAGGATATTTAATAGCTATTGAATGGTAACTTATAGAATTGATAAGATTCACTATGGATGGGTTTTTTAAGGTTTTTTTTTTTAATGGGATCGAATTCGATGATCGAATGGTGATTTCATGAGATTCACAAAAACTACTCAAATGGTTACTTGCTTGATAGATGTCCCATGGTTTCCTGCAATATTAACGATAGTTTCTCATGTAGAACTGCTTCTTGAAGGTGCATCTCAGGAATCGCAAGTGGATTTTTTTCGCCATGTAGAACTTAAGGGATATTGCATTTTCAACTAGGGGATATTATGGCTGTTACACTAATTGGGATGCAAGGTGGTATTAATAACCACAATATGTTCTTATAATTTCTTATATATATATACTGGTTGGTGGTTGAGTCTACCCCTCTGAAAAATATGACTTCGTCAGTTGGGATAATATATGGAAAAATAAACTTAATGTTCCAAACCACCAACCAGTATATAAACAGTATATATATATATGTTATCTAGTGTATTCATATGTATGCAACTATCATGTGCTTGGGAAAGTCTGAAGCTGCCTTGGCTCCCGTTGAGAGGGATACCGGCCCCGGATAGACGGATTGGTCTGGAACTTGGGAAATCAATTGGATCTATGGGGATGTCGGAAAAAATCTTTGCAATCCCCAAAAGATAGAACAGGTCAAATCTGGCCCTATGATTCATGGTATTTTTATGTATTTTTCATATTTGTCCACTATTCTGCAGCTTGGTCCAAAATTCAAAAAAAATGGATTTGTCTGAGAATAGGGCACCAAAGAAGAATCTAATGGTTTTTCTCAACATGTTTCCTGTTCTGAAATTGCTCTTTGCGAGTATACCTGATTCAAACAAACCCAAATACAATATCATGTTGCAATTGTGTATCCCCATTGCATCCCCGATTTCCATCCCAAGAAAGTGCCAAACAAAATCGGGGGAGATCTCGACTACATAACTGCCATGAACATAAAGGGGACTTCCCAGCCTTCTTTTGTGGGCAGGCACCATGGAATTCGAGTACATCTCATTTTATTTCATAGAATCCCCAGTAAAATCCCTTATGTATGCCATTCTATATACACCAGGCTAGGAGACCCGTATAATTGTGTGTATATATATAATTATATATATATATATATATGTATCTCTTTCAAATTCCTAGTAAAACCCATGTTGTATGTCATTTCATCACAGTAAATGCCCCATGTCTATTGGTTTCCTCTCTGTGGGCTAGAGGATACCTATGTCTCCGTCGTTGGTTTTTCGGGTTCCGCACCTCTCTTTCAGGTCGTGGCGAACGTGCGAGCTCCTGTGGATGACTGAGGGGAAACCAAGAGGTGGCCAGGGGGGCAGTGTGGACACATATTGATGTATACTACAGTTATAATGATGGTGCATTCAGAATTATTGCTGTATTGTCACTACTATCAGTACTATCATAGTTCTTTGTTATTCTTATCATTGTATTTGCTTATGACTAAAAACATCATTTGTACTTAATGTTGCCATTGTATTGGCCAGAACTATCCTTAAATAATCAGCAGGGTTGGTGGTCCTGGCCATGACCCTCTTGGGATGTGCTATGGCAGCTATGGCAGCTATGCTGGTTGTGGGGATGGTAAACCATACAAGGTGCCCAAGTTGGTTGGCCAAGTTGCTTTGCACCTAATATAGCTAGGCTTATCTAGGTAGATCTTGGTAGATATATCTGTATGGTAATATAGCTAAAGCCAACATTGTACTTCAGCAATAGTGCGCCATGGTCCCAGTGAGTATTGCATATATATATATATATATTACAATAATCAATAATAAACAATAATAAATAATAATAGTAATTGTATATAATGTATATTTAATATAAGTCACTAGTTTGACTTACCATGCTACAAGAATCAATGATCAAAGGCATGACAAACAGTTGATTTAAGATGGATATATATATATATACATGTCATGTATGGAAACATGTGCAAACATGAGAAAATATCATTCCCTAACATTCTAGTTTCGTTTGAGAAATGAATCCTGCAAGAACATCCATACATATCCAATAGGTACGATATTTTTTGCAAATAGCCGAGTACCAGGGCGAAGTAAGCATTGACAGTACCACATGTTAGGCATTCGCCCCTGTCATGTTTGGGGTTCGAAGGAACCAAGCAGATGTTTCATTGGTTGTTATTGCCCGTCTGGTTACATATATATATATATATACAGATAGTATATAGATATAGACATGAATGCATAACATCATGTGTATACATAACATTATATACATATATATGAAATATTATCGTATGAAGTTACATTATATCATACATTGTGCATCCATGGAATGACAGTCGTCAGATAAGTCAATGGCTGGTTCACCCATTTTTCTGTTCTTCGCAAGCCATCAATATGGGTCAATCGTCAATGGATACCCATGTTGAGACACAACCAATATCTGGTTGGTGGTTGAGCCTACCCCTCTGAAAAATGATGGAGTTCGTCAGTTGGGATGATTTTTCCATTCCCAATATGATGGGAAAGTCAAAAAAATCCATGGTTCCAAAGCACCAACCAGAATATTTTTCTTACCATGTGGAAAAAAAAACACCATTCACTCTTTTGGATTTACCACATCCAAGCGGGAGATATCCCACATCCAGAAAGGTACTTGTAGATGGCTCCGATTACGCGCGACAAACTCGTGAGGGACAACCCTAATTACCTATGCGAGCGACATGGTATTTGCAACCCCGGTAAAACAGCAGGATATTTCTGTTTTACACGATCTTGTATACCACCAACCAGTAACTATAGGTTATTGGACTTGTGTTATCCCATTATCATCCGATAAAATTCACCAATGTTAACCCATTTTTTGAGCCATGAAATCACCATTAAATCATATCTTCCCAAGATTTTCCCATGAAAATACGATCCACTTAATGCCGAGGACTTGTGTTAGCTTAACTGCTTGGTGGTATACCTACCCCTCTAAAAAATATGAGTTCGTCAGTTGGGGTTATTATTCCCATAACCTATAGTCATTAACATCACATTATTAACTATAGACTATAGGTTATTGGACTTATGTTAGCATCCACGTATGGAATATTTACCAACATGTGCCCTAAAAAGACCGTTTGGCCGGGCATGATTAATCAACCCCCTGTGCTGAAATCCATTTTTTTATAGGTTATTGGACTAATGTTACCCTCTGGTAAACTAACTTAGCTATGGAAAATGGCCATAGAAATAGTGAGTTTTCCCATCAAAAATGGTGATTTTCCAGTTCGCTATGTTAAATTACCAGGGGGTAGAATCCCAGGTCACCGATTTTTTTCGTCGACCGTTGAGGCTGCGACGGTCCTCCTTGAGCATCTGGCCCTTGCGCCGCTCGCGTTCGGCGCGCTCCGCTGCGCGCTTCTCCATGCGCTGCCCGGGGAGCCCATGCAGCAGCACCGGGCCACGCTGCGGGGCATCCTGACGCGAACCGGGGAACCCGGGGACGTGGTGATTGAAATGAAAACCAGCAAAGATATTTGGTGATTTCATGGTGATTGAATGGAATTTCATGGTGTGTTATTTTGATTTAATGGTGATTGAATGGGTTTTGATGGTGATTTCATGGTGATGTTATGTTGTTTTAATGCTGATTGAATGGGCTTTGATGGTGACTTTATGTTGATTTAATCTGATTTAATTTAATATAAACTAATATGATTTAATATGATTTTCTCGAGATTTTATATGATTCAATGATCATTGAATGGTTTCATATAATGGTGATTGAATTGGTTTGAATGGTGATTTACCCAGCAATCAAGAGGATTTAGTGATATTTATATAATGGGGATTTACCCTCGAAATTTGGATTTCACATGATTTCATATTTCACCAGATAATATGGTTGATAATGGTTATAATGATGGATAACTTAGGATAAATAGTGGATATTATGGTATAATTTAGGATGTTCTGGGGATATTAATTTGCGCGCCTGCTACTGTAGATGCATAGCTGCGGACCATTTTTTACCTGCTACTGAGGTCCGCAAAATGCCGCCCGCAATCCCATTATTCCGGTGCCAGATCCACTAAAAGAATGGGCTAAAAGATGTCACCCAATCACTATTTCATGGGGAAGCACATGTAGAGAAACAGTATTATGCGATTCTGTAGCATCTACGTATTCCAGATGATTCCAAGCTTTTGGCTATCGAGGAAGGCACCAAGTATGGCGCACAAACAAAGAAGGTGCGCGTACAGTAGTGGGTCAAAATCTGTAAAGCATTACATAATAACATATTTTGCGCGGATAAACACCAAATTTCCAGCTATTTTTGGGTGCACCAGGGCGCCCTAGTAGGCCCTAGTAACTTTACCCATGTCCAATTCACAGTTGTGAGGTCCTGAAGATGAATTCTAGATTAGATTAATTACCCACAATGTGGGCCCCCAGACGATAGGTACGTTGGTTTACAGCTAGGTTTACAATGGCTTATGATCTACAAATGCATCTAGATACTTATAGAATCTTATAGATACTTAGATGGTTTCATAAACCAACTTCTAACCAAGATGGGCCACATTGAACCATAGTTAACGACCAAACCATGGTCAGTCCTTCATGTCAAATGCTTGTGCGTCATTGGACTTATGTCCTCTTATTATCTCCTCTTATAGTCTACTTGGAGGATCATCCCGCGAATCGTAAGTTGTTTTCATAACCCTGGTGATCGTAAGTCTTAAAATTGTTCATTCACTGAATTATTCCATTACTAATTCAATCCAATTATCCATTGGTCCATTACTAATTATTTCGTTGGGGTTACCCTCTGGTTATTTAACATAGCCATGGGAAATGGCCCATTTATAGATGGTTTACCTATTAAAAATGGTGATTTTCCATGGCTATGTTAGTCATAACCAGATGGTAAATCCTTGATTCATGGGTGAAATAACCCCAGAAACACCAGAACCACAACCACGAGTCGTGGGATGATCCATCCCTTGTATTTTTTTTCCACGGCTCGTATGGGGTAGTGGGAATGGTCTAAGAAACCACGGCGTTTTACCTTGGCGGCAAGCAAGTCAATCCTTTAACTGGTTGGTGGTTTTAACCATGTTGAAAAATATTAGTCAATGGGAAGGATTATGCATATGATTTCGAAAACAACAAATGAATGAAACCACCAACCAGTTTAACATGCCTCCATTTATGATCAAAATGAACTCGAACTATCATTGACCGATGCTATCGCCAGTTTTGTTGATTACGCTCTGACAATTCATGGGTGAGACAACCCACAAAAAAATGTTTCTGGTTGACCAGCATCAGCAATCGGTGTACCATGGTTTACCCCATCTGGCTGAATGATAGTAATCAAAAGTAATCAAAAGTATTCAAAAATCACAAACCTGAACTAAGTTGATTTTGGGATACGTATCCTAACCATCATAATCTATTCGTGATGTCGTGGTGAGCAGAATTCAGACTCTGCAAGGTGGTGCCCCACAAGGCTCAGTCAGATGACCGACTTTTTTTGCCAGGATGTATGGTGAATATATCTATGGTTAGTTAGACGGATATCATATCTATGTATATAATTAATTATAATTAGACATATATACACATACATATATATATAAGTATGTCTGATAGTTAGCTAAGTTGCATCTCTCTCTCTCTCTCTGTATAGCTGGACACCAGATCCATGTTCAACCCCAAAGCTATTCAAATCGTTCTTGCGTTCTTTCGTTCTTTCATTTTATGTGATTTTTTTGAGTAATTGGTGGTTTCAACCCCCCTGAAAAATATGAAAGTCAGTTGGGATCATTATTCCCAATATATGGAAACATAAAATTCCAAACCACCAACCAGTTACCCTCTGGTAAATTAACATAGAACATGCCAGTTATCGGGGTTGGAAGATTAGTTTCCATTAAAAGCTGGTGATTTTCCATGAAAAACTGGTGATTTTTCCGTTAAAAACTGGTGTTTTGTTCCATTAACAACTGGTGATTGTCCATTTAAAACTGGTGATTTGTCCATTAAAAACTTGTGTTTTTTTCATTAAAAACTGGTGATTTTTCCATTCAAAATTGGTGAACTTTCCATTACCGGAGGTAAGTATTCCCCAGAGACATAGGATTTTCAACATGGATGCCGTAGATGGGCAGCCTTCGAAAATCGACTCATGACTGGCCGGGCCGGTCCTCTGCTTGTCGCTTCGCGTGCACTGACAACTCCGGGCGTCGCTCCTGTGATAAAAAAGACACGCCGTGCAATCGATGGTTGGCTGAACGGGAAAACTCATACACAATCACTATATATCACTATGATTTCATGGTATCTTAATGAGATTCTAATGGGATTTTCATGGGATTAAAGCTTCTAATCCATGGTATGCAAATGATTTCAGATGTGAATCAAGTTGCAACTTTTTCTTGGAGGTTCCTGAGCATTGTCCCTTCACCCTGTATGACATGGCGAGGATTCATTATGGAAAACTGTCCAGTGGAAAGATCATTGACACATGAGATAAGCGCCGTTGCCAAGATTGCCGGACCCAATACCCTCTGGTAATTTAACGTAGCTATTGAAAATCACCATTTTCAATGCGAAAATCCACTATAAATGGCAATTTTCAATAGCTATGTTAAATTACCAGAGGGTAAAATCAGCCACTTTCAAGTGTGAAGAACAACTTTGGGGCTTGGAATCCTCAGCCAACAACTAGATCCATCAACCTGGACATACGGAAGGACAACTATGAAGGCCAGCCCCATCACGGCAGGGGTTCGACTGCGGATCGCAGTTCTGGTCTCCAATAACCAAATAAAACTACGCTCAGATCCCCCCAAATCCCATACAGCGTCTTCAATCTTCTGGGTGCTTCCATATTAAACATATGGTAGAGTTGGGGTCATCAGGTAATCGCCCTAATCACCATTCATCACTGCTCTCAGGTACCCTGCAAAGAACTCAATTATTGGGATATAAAATGCTCCTGTTGAAAGCCAACAAACAGCCTACTCAAACAAAGGTTCTCTAGCAATCCATTTGTAACTGGCTTCCGTTCAGTTGCACCCCGCCCTCGCATTCGTTGGCCATGAAAAGTATGGTCATGTCAATCAACTATCCATTGCCATCCACGACCTTCGAAATCCAATAACAAAGAAGAGCGGGATACATTGGGTACAACTAGTTGTTCGGACTTTCTAGAAATTTGTCAGCCATTTACCAAGCTGTTCTTGCAAAATCACCCATTTCTGCTGCGTTCATCTGCTTAAATTCGAAACTTTGGTGCTTCAAAAATTCCTCATTTGAGGTATGGACAATTCCTGGGGACGATCATCCAGTTCTTCATCTGTTCATTTACGGGCAATGAGTACGATAACATGTTTTTGATGCGACTAGTGCAGCAATCTTATAGATGTATATGAACATTTAAGGTGGTTTCCATAGGCATGAGGGTACCCAAAATGTGGATGTTTCTTTATTTCATGGAAAATCCGAATCTAAAGTGGATGATAACTAGGGGTACCCCTATTGTAGGAAAACTGCATTTGTTTGCTGATCCCCTGCCAAAGGTAAATCCATTTCGGTCCATCTAGACCCCCAAAAGCCAACAAAAAAATCATCTGTGTGCCTAACTCATTCAGTTGAACCCATAAACACACAAAAAACAACAAGATCACTTTTCTTCAATAATCATGAATCATGATCATGAGAATTAATCAAGAAATTAATAGTTATTAATGCCCACAACAGTCAATAATGATCATTAGAAGAGTTTTCTGCGAATGTGTTCGATGTTGCCGAGATCCCCCGCCTTTGGTGCGGACTTTGGCCTGGAGTTGGGCCGTGCTTCCTGGCGATGGCGATGGCGATTTCTGGGGATTCCTGGGGATAAAACGAGAAAGTTTCCGAGTAGGGGCGGATAAAACCAACATAAACCAACCAAGAAACCAAGAATGGTGATTCTTGGGATTCTTGGGGATTTATTCAATTTATTCAAACAAAAAAAGTCACATAATCGAATTAATCAACCATGTTTTGGTGTTTTTTGATGGGATTCTAATTGGGACGTGATAGCTTATTGGGATATGAGCAATGGTCAAGCCACTTAAGAGGTAGGGAATAATATGATTAATAGGGTGTAGTCTGGTCATCCCACCATCATGAATGATTCAAAACTATAGGTATATTAACACCTATCAGCTGTATTATGAGACCATCGTTGAACCTATGAGAAAATAACCCATGGTTTGCCGCACATGGCACATCTGGCTATGGTGAGAATTAACAAGAATGGTTTTTGCAAATTAATCACACTTAGCTGCTAGATTAGCTGTTGATTGATCTCTGGTTATTTTCCGTTGGCGTGCTGGATTGCCAAAGGGTAGAGGACATGTAAAAGCGAGATGTGGATAGGAGTGTATGTTGAACAATTGTGGGTTTCTTAAAATGAGGGACTCCAGTACCATCCAAAATTAGAATTATATAAGTACATATATATAAATTATATAAATATAGTATTGAAACCATGGTTTTGGGGATCCTCTGTTTTAAGAACCTCAACGCAATTTCTGATACCATTGCCTTTCATTCAACCTAAAGATGATGGAAGTTTCATTAGTAGCACCAGCTACATCGGGTCGATCTTAAACAACAGTCCAAGATCTAAGCTAGTTTCATCTGGGTTTGTCGGAAAATAGGCGACCCATCTGTTCCATGTGTTAATCACTGTTAATCATCTCCGTATGACGATCGCCATTTGGAGGCTATACCCCCTTTTCACACACATATCTGATGATTCTATATCCCAGTATGTCACCATATTCCAATTGATTTACCCTTTTTCATCCCAGTGTATTAGTATATTCCCACCATGGTTGAGTATTTCCGATGTGTTGTTGCTTAATCCCATCACATCCCACTTTTGTTGGTTCAGGTAAACCATCACTTTTTTCCCACTAAATCCCCTGGAATCCTGATTAAACCGCCATTTTCCCTACGACATTTTCCTCGTTTCATGGTTCAAGCACAATTATCAATTATGCATGAAATACCCTCCGGTTGCAATGGAAAATACCCCATTTATATACCAATGATTGTCCTAGTAAAAATATCACTTGCCATGTTTTATTACCGAGGGAGATTCATGAACTAGAATCCACAATTTTTTTCTTCTTAAATCCCATTCAATCCCACTATATAAATACCCATCAAAAACCAATCAACGATCCCTTAATTCAATCCCGATCCGATCATCCCATCAGATAAACCCCGATAAAACAACGAATTCTCTGATGGTCAATGGGGAAACACCATTCTTCATCACCATTCTTCATCACCATTTCTTCATCGAAGTTCTCCACAGGATGGGGCCCCATATATAGTTAGCTAAGTTGGTGCAAATAACTATGTCATAACAAGTTGGTGTATGATACGCAAATAACATCAAATTTAGATGGGGTTCTGTTCACCAACATTCACATCACTGGGGGTTATAACATGTTATAACCATCCTGTACACAGAAAAAATCCATGAAATATTTTATATCCCATTAAATCTTATTATATACCATTATGAAATACCATAATTCCTCACCATTTATAGAGAATTTCTCCACGTCCTCCAGGAACAAACGTGGCGCGTTCCGCCTTGTCCATTCGCCTGGGTGGCGTCTGTGGCCTGGATGGCCGCACAGTCTCCTGTGCTGCAACGACGTGCGTGCAACGACTTTTCACGTCACACGCGATGTGAGGGATACCCTCTGGTAAACATACAAAAAACAGCAAAAAACAATGGAAAATCACCATTTCTATTGGTAAACATACAAAAGAACATGGGAAATCACCACTTTTAATAGGTAAAGGAACTGTTTCTACGGGCCATGAATTCCAGTTCGCAAACTGTTAGATTACCAAAGGGATTGACTTCCTAAATGATGCAAGTGAAAGCATTGCGTTGTGTTTCAAAATGTTTCAATGGTCTGATTTTGGAAGATCTGGGGTAAGATTATTTTAGGAACCCCCAAAACTCCTCATACCAAACCCCAAAAGCAAGCCCCGTAGAGGCATAGAATTTGATACAGTCTAATCCTAAAATCCTGAAAAAATGATAAACATTGAGAAATCTATCTTTTTACTTTTTTTTTTTTAAGATGTTGCTGTATGGTGATAAAGGATTTAAACATATTAGATATGTCACAAATATACACTCCCCATGTCGGAGATTCTGAAAGCAAAGGGCGCCTACTCAATTTTCACAGCATTTTTAGTTTTTGGATATTTCCCTTTCAGGATCACTGAAACATGGTTGTATGGGGATCTTGCTAACAAAGAAGGGATTTTTTATCCACGAACTCTGGGGGCTCAAAACATCTGACAGTGTCGGATCACGATGTGTAGGATTGGAAAACAACACTGGTTGGTTGTATACCTACCCATCTGAAAAATATGAAAGTCAGTTGGGATGATTATTCCCAATATATGGAAAAATAATGAAAAATAAAAATGTTCCAAACCACCAACCAGAACAACATTTTGAAGCCAGTTTCGATGACAAGGGGCACATAGTATTTCCGATATTCGTTGTTTACATGATTCTATGGGCAGGAAAACACTGATTGAAAAATCACCAGAGACTTACATTACAGTCACCATGATTACTGACCACGTATGGGGAAGGGTTGTCAAACTTGATTTACGAGGGACACTTAAAAAGTAGATTTATCGAAGGATGGTGGTGATGGTGGTGGCGGTGGATTTCAGAAGTCCAGACTCATCCTTCTCGCGGCGTCCAATGCCGGAGCATCAAGACTCACAAAAGGTGGGGGACCTCAAAAAGGTCATTTTCGCATGTTTGATGATATTTGTTTGTTTGTAACTTTCCTTTTTTGGGTTCCCCAAAACAGGCAGTTAGGGGGTGGTGATGATATGACTATATGACTCAAGTTGATCTACCAAAGATTAAGTTCAACACCTTTTGAACTCAAATAATGCGGGTAAAACAATAATAAACCACCACATGTTTGATGGTTTATACCCATAAAAATGGTGATGACTTGGGGATGGTTTATGATTGTCTTAACCAATAATGTCCTTTTGGTAAAAATAGAGGGGCCGGTTTGGTATACCATTTATCATCATAGAAACCTGTTGTGAAAGGAGTTTCTTCAACCCCCTCTATGAAAATCAACCAACCAATGGGAATTTGGGACACCTATGGTTCTTAACCACATGACCTCATGACATTTCGCTCAAGTTGCAGATCAACTTCCGGCCAGGTCGCCTGTAGGGTGCCTCGAGACTCTGAGAGTTGCATGGCCAGCTCCTGGACGTCATGGAAAACTGCTTGGTGGTATAACTACCCCTCTGAAAAATATGACTTCGTCAGTTGGTTGGGATGATGACATTCCCAATACATGGAAAAACAATGTTCCAAGCCACCAACCAGAAATCATTGGTGATCAGCTGAGCTAATGGGAAGAAAGGATCCACAGGATCCAAGAAAGGGAGGTTCTCAAAAGTCTCTCCTAGGGGAGTGATTCGGAATCTTGGTTCTTGGATCTTGGAACCCTTGAACCAACAAAAGGTATAAAAAGGTTCGCTACCTCAAATGATAAAAGTTGAAGTACCTTAAACTCTTGCTTAAAAATCACGAAAAACTGAATATGACACGACATTGAAATAGCAGGATCCGGCCTGGAACTAAGCAATGCATCGTCAACTTTTAGTGAAAGAAGGTGACATCGTCTTCGTTTCTGTGAAAGTACCAGCATACCCTCTGGTAAACTAACATAGCTATGGAAAATCACCATTTTCAATGGGAAAATCCACTATAAATGGCCATTTTCAATAGCTACGTTAAATTACCAGAGGGTACTTTCATCAACAGCTGATGAAAGCGATTTTGCAGTGTTGCTTTGGGTGGAAATCCCAGCGGCGATTGTAATCCAGTCTGGTTAATCATAAGCCGCTCAGAGTCCAGCGACTTATGAGTTAATTCAGAAACTCACAGGAAGTGAAATCACCGTGTTTCCATAAGATGTATATGGACAGCTAGAGAGTGGTTGAGGCTTCCATTGGTTGAAGATGTTGTCCTCCTTTCCTGTTGGATCTATACGTCTCAATGCTCATACTACTGTGGATGGATGGAAGAAATCCTGCACCAGTTGGTGGCTATTGGCAACTATGAAACACTGTACATAATCGGATTATAGCATATTATAACAGGATAAACCATCTAGTATCGCAGACTGTATGTTGGTGAGTCCCAATTTCATGGCTTTCCTTGGCCGCCCGGCAAGAAAATACTTTGTTTTCGCGATTATTGCCAAAATTAGCTCAGCAACCGACCGTTCACCATATCTTTTTACCCAGATTTAGATGTTAAGTAGCCTGGCTTTCATGTTTCCACCTAGTCATCTTCCCAAATATGAGAAGTTTTGACTGAACCCCCCAGTCATTCCTTGTACTCCGTGAGGGCACTTGGAAGGCCTCGTTCCTGGGGAGCCGAAGTCCAGCTATTTTGAATGTAACCAATGTAGCCTCACAACCCAAAATAACAAAACATCAGATAATTTGAAGGTAGCAAAACATGCAAAACATCAGAAATGTAGCATGTTTCTGTAGCAAACAAAAAAAATTCTTCACAGAACACCAGTTCCGATTTTTTCAGAATGTTCATTGATTTTTTCGTAGGAGAATGACAGATATGACACTACATTTTTTTGGCATTTGGGATTTGGGGATTCTGGGAGGAAGAGATATTTCTTGCAAGGCTCCAATCTGGAGAAATGATGGAATTCCCCAGTGGTCATTGCGACATGACGTGAGGTTGCTGTAATTCATCCAAATGAATACCGACCTTGTGGACGAATCCCAAAATAGTATCCTACTGTTGACTACCTTAAAGATTGTGTATTTTCAGGTTTCAGCAAGGGTTAACCTAGTTATACCCAAATGGACTGATAAACCTAAACAGGGGAAGAAACCGTTAAGCTAGCGACCCAGCGCCTTTTATACTGAGCCGCAATGCTGTCAGATACATCTATGATACAGCTATGTTTTACATGGGGTGCAAATACACCCCCCTCAGGTGAGCCGGACACGGCAAGGCTGCCCATTTACCAGGGCGAGGCTTTTAAAGCCTGCCTTACCGATCCAACTCTTTGCAAACCCAAGGGAAAACAATCAAAAGAATGTGCGGCTTTGTACAATCGATCGTCAATGCAAGCAGTGTCAAAATTTATCCCTCTTCCCATTCGACTCGGCCATGCCTGATAACCTTTTGGTACCAGCGCCCATGCCACTTCTGCCACTCATTGGTGAACTGTCGATCTTCACGGGAATGACTTTGCTGAGGGCGATTGAGCCACTGACTTGCTGACGTGGATGATGAGGCTACCTCTACGGTGGATGGTCGGGCAACCGGTTTGGAGGGACCTTGGCCGTACGCTCCAGTCTGCTCAGCTTTGCGCTTGGCCTCATTCTGCTCGCGAGCCCTGTCAGACTGCTTCTTCTTCTCTGCAGCGTTCTGCTTGTACAGCTCCTCGTTTTGTCCCTTGATCCACCTCAAATGACGTTCAGCATCATGAACAGCAATGTTGTCAACACCAGTACAAGACAACAAAAGGTTGTGTCCAGGATTCCGGTTGAGGTAGTCAATGTACTCTTCCTCGGAGTAGATTTCCGTCCGGTACATATAGAACCATGGTTGGTCGATGTACTTGAACGATTTCGGGACATCAAGACGGCTTGCCAAATCCAAGTAAACCAGCCTCATCGCATTGTGCTCCAGCTGGGATTGCTCAGAAACACCCATCTTGACCTGAGCCTTGGTGCGACCTGGCTTTGGCAAATGTGCAGACTTGAGGAGGTCGTACCTTTCACAATCGTACTCGTTCTCCCCCTCATTCAGCACGCTCTCTGCGAATGTGGCGTCCTGGGCAAACCTGTCAGCCACAGACACATAGCCCAAGCTCAAGGCACGGTCGAATCGACTCTTTGCCCTTGCCAACAAACTGGCTTCCGGACTTGAGCTTCCCCTTGCCTGGTCGTCCAACAAACCCAAAGATTCAAGCTGACTGTGTGTGATGCTCTGCAGGTACTCACCACGAAAATCATAGTACAAGCCCAGCTTGTGAAGGGCGGCCTTCCTTCGTTCTGCAATCTTGGTTCGGTCGGCCTTGTTCACCCCTTCGAGCATCAATCCGCACACATCGCATTCAATCTGTCCCTTGAAAGTCTGTGCAAAACATCTTGAACATTGCGTGACTTCAATCTTGACCGGCACCGGCTTTTTGTCCTCCTTCTTCACCTCTTTCTTCGAAGGTTGGTCATCGCCTTTAGGGCGAGACTTCTGCTTTGGCACCAGTGACTTGGATGTTGATGCCGGCGTCTTTTTGGGTGACTCTGCAACTGGAGCTTTTGGATCTTTCTGTACTGCCTTCGGCGGTGCAACTTTTGAAACAGGCTCCAAGAAGGCCGCAGCTGATGATGCCGCAGGCACAGCTGCGGGCACGCTTGTCAGGGCTGCCTTCTTCTTTGCAGGTTCATCCTTTGCTGCTGCATCAACTTCTGAGGTCACAGCTTTTGGAACTTCTGGTGCATGAGGTGCAGAAGTCCCTTCCTTCGGTGATGGTTTTGGAGCCGCTTTCGGCGGTGTCTTTGGGCTTTCAACCTTTGCTGCAGGAGGCTTTGGAGCTTCACCCTTCGGAGGAGGGGGCAACAGTCTGCTGCTTGCATATCCAGACATACCGGCAAGTTGGGCCACATTTGGTGGCGGAGGCTTCACCTTTCCTGGGAAAAATTCCGTTGCAGTGGGCGCGCCAGTTGAGGCGGCCGGAGACGTGGAACCAGTCCGTTTTGATGCCTTGGCCTCAAAGGTCTCGACAAGCTGCTGGACTCCAACTTCTCCCCCACTGCTCGCTGCAGACTGTGCGACCTCCTGCTGGCGACGATACAAATTCACCTTCTTGGCAGTGTCATCGACAGAGATAATGTATTGAGGCGGTACGACGTCACTTGTCAAAATGCCGTCAGAGGCCGTCCTGAAAAACACAATGCCAGCTTTGACAGCTTCAGCCATTGCTACCCTGATTTCAATGGGTCGTTCAGCACGCAAACCGCTCACATACTCTTTCTCGTCGACACGCACTTCGCTAAAATAGGAGTGTGCTCTGCCTGATGAATTTCGTTCTCCTCCTCCAGCCATGAAGCCATTCTCAATGATGCCCTTCCAATTGCCTTTTGTAGTCCTGTGATAAACTACGCCAGGGCACATCTGAGGAGTGGTAATCTTTTTACCTTTGGCGTTCATTTTCTGGATCGCTGCTGCTCCAGACAGAGCATAGATTTCCACTGCATTGAACGTGTCCTCAGCTGAAGCGGCATCCATGGCACGTTTCGTATGCCCCTGCACTGCACGGATCCTGATGGGCCAGTAGGCTAACCCTTTACGGGTTGCCTTCTGGTACCCGGCAATGCACTGGAACTCAAAACGGCACTTGCTGTCCCAGTAGAGCAATGAAATAAGCTCTTCAACTGTCATTCGGGGCAACTTGGCTGGCAGCATTTGGTTGAACATTCGAAAGAAGTCATCAAGGTCAAGCCACATGTTTTCATCAAATCCAGAGGTGTCCTGACCCGGCTGTCCACGCGTCACTGCATTGACCTTGGTCTTGTGTCGGTCCATGCGATCTGGGTACCTCAGCTCCTTTGCCCCATCCATCTCCCAACAGGTTTTGACGATCAATTCGTAGGGATGGGCATCAACGACACAATGTTCAACTACTTCTGCATTTATGTTTTCGTCCAAAGTGATACGATATTTGTCAAGGTGCCCAAGTGCATGTTTCGGAATGATGGTACCCTTGATCTCGTTTTCTTGCAGGGGCTCACCAGTTGAGGTGGCCTGAGTTGAATCCTCCTGTGTCGTCTGAGGTTTCGCCTTGGGGTCAGGTGGAGCTGCGTGGCTGGCCTTGGCCTTGCCAACCGATGGGCCCTCATGCTCATCGGGATCCAGAGCATCCCATGGGTCGCCTTCTTCATCATCATCTTCAGCGACACCAGCATCGGTCGGGCGAGCTCTCAACTCCTCTGCTGTGAAGCTTTCTGGGGTCGAGACGCTCGGTGCAGATTTGTTCGTCTTCTCACGGAGAGCATTGAGAACCTGCACAAACCTGACTGGGAGGTGCTCCATCTTTGGTGGGACATCACGCATTGTAGCTTCTCCTGCAGGGCGCCTGCGCTTGTACAAAGACAGGTTGTACTGAGGAATCAAAATGTCCGTCATGTGCAACATGTGGAGAGTTGCCATGACATATCCGATCATTTCACTTCGGTTGAGCTCAGTCTCGAATGCGTGAAAGTAGTCCCTGAGCTCAAGCCTTGGTGGAAGCATGTCATTCTGAATCCACCGAATTCGATCGTTGTCACTGGCAATCTCCTTGTGGAACCATTCCTTCAGTCGATCAACAAACGTGGTGAAGATGAGACTCAATCCATAAGTGAGCGGGTCGGGCTCGCCGATTAGGGCGGCCTGATCCACTCCCAATTCCTTGAGCTGATTGTTCCACCACACGATGTTGCCTTTGACCCTGTCCATGATGGCATTCCAGTCACCCTGTGGTTCCCTCTGCCCCCAAATGGGAAGGGGTTCAACACCATATTCCCCACAAATTTCATTCCCAGACCAAAAGATTACCGAAATAACCCTGATGGCTGATCCATGAGAAGAATATTTCGCCATCAGCTCCTTGATCATGGAAACATTTGCTTTGCAGAGCTGTTGCAAATCCTTACCCCAGAGCATGTCATGACCGATTTCGAGAACCATGTCCGACTTTCGCAATCCCAGATCCTCCTTCAAGGTGTACTTCTTCAAAGTCTTACCCTTTCCAGTGATCAGAGCCAAAGTTGAATCGGAAGTCACCACATAGATGGTGGGCACGACGTCTACCGCCGGCCTTGATGTCCCAGGGACGTACTCAGTAGGCAAGCTCAGATCCCACAGCGAGTCATGTTCGAGCTCGGACAGATGGCGGATCTCCTTTGCCCACGGCACGTTCGTCAGGGCGTCAGTTGCCATTGACTGCGCAGTGAAACACTGCATGAATCCTGCGGCCAACTCAAGGTCTTCTGTCCTGTTGCCCTGTGCCAGGATGGTTGACGAAGCGAGGACCGTAGAAAAGATGTCCTCCCACCCTGCGTGCCTATCCCCCTGAACATCAAGGCACTTCCGAAAAGCAAGCCACTCCGACATGTTGCTCTGTTGGGGCACGGTCTTTAAACCGGCCGACTTGAGAGCCCGCACGTTCATCTTGTCAGTGATCGACAAATTTGAATCATCAGAACGGCGGCTCATGGCGGGCAAAGCTAACCTTTTCCTGTTCTTGGCGGTTTGTGCCTGGTTAGCTCTGGAACGAAAACAATCATGGATGAAGTCAGTCAACTTGAATGTGTAGTTCTCTGCAAGCTTCAATGCAGTACCCCGGCTTTGAC